AAAATTTGAAGGGTGGAGACTTTCTCACACTGAAGTGTATGCCTGATACTTCCTAAAGAAGCCGAGAGAACTAAGACAGATTCTGACAATGATGACACCACAGGGCTGATAATGTGGGCTCACTGGGGCTCCTATTGGGGTTCTAGACAGTTCAGTGACTATCACCTCTTTTCTTCAACCAAGATCAGAATCAATTCTGAGAATAAGACAAGAGCCTTATGTAATGGACCTCAAAATACCAATTTTACTATTGATAAGTTCTCTGGAGACTATGGCATAGGTGTGAAAGCTGAATGCGCTGGCTAGAACTCCCCTGAGATAAGCTTACTCCCCAAAACTGCAGGCCTCCTCTGCTAGGCTTATTACACAATGGAAAGACAGCCTGGAATGAGTGTTCTCTGTGGGCAAGCAGGTCCTGAAGGGTTCCTTCTCCCAACTCAGCAATCAGCTCAGTCCCTCAGGTTCTCACTGGGAAGAAGGAGAAGGATGGGGCTAGAAGCCAGGAGTGCTTCTCCATGGATACCTCTTTATATGAAAATACAAAAGAGGGGAGGCCAGCGACCTCAGCCACAGTCCCTCACACTCGTCTCTGCACTTCAGAGGACACAGCTATTGGCTGGGGACTGCTCTTTGGTGGCATGAGAAACACACATGAGGCATCTGAAGAGAGCCCAGGGAGTGGCTGTGTCCTGCCATCTCTCCTCTCACACTCCTCCCCTCCTGAGCCTCTGGGTCGCAGGGATGGATTGAGACTGACAAACCTGAACATGTTTTGGTTTGAGGTTTGGCAAACTCTGTAACTCCAAAGTATTCCACAAATGTTTTGTGTTCTGAAAAACCAAAAAACATTGGCCAAGCACTTTCCTCCCTAATTTTTAAGCCCATGTGTTTTTAAAGGAAATGTAATCCGTATGTTTTGGGGTACATTTATATGCAGCTCATCAAATCATGCTCCCCTGCATGAGTCACTTGATGTCTAAAATGCAGGGGGAGAATCTTAGATTTATAAGAACTCTGTTAGCATAAGAAAGACGACAGATAAGGAATTGGTTGGAAGGGGTAAACTGGGTCCTCAGTGCTGGAACAGAACCACCAGTTCCCAGAAGACTGGCAGATAATTCTCTATATCCTCACCCATCAATCTTTCCCATCTGCAAAATTGCATTAATAATGCTTGCCCTCATCAGATCCTGTAGATAGCTAGTGAGAAAGTGTGTCTATCAGGTAATTTTGAGCTTTTTAAAGAGAAAAATACAAGAGCCCCTGTACTTACCCCAACAAGTTTGTTTTAATCCAGCTTCCTAGAACGCTGGAGGACAAAAATGGCTTCTACCTTTAATAATTCATCCTTGTCCCACTGTGAGACACGTGACCTCAGTGTCATTATATCACAGTTTCATCTGCTAGGGAAGTGCGGCCTGGCTTCCTGTCTTCTGCTAAGGAGACCCTTGTTTACAGGGGCCAGTAGACTGACAAAATCGTGAGAGTTGTCTACAAAGACAGGCTGAGAATATACAGGTTGTTTTATTTGGAAAAGAGAAGGTTCTGGGTGACTTGCATAGTTTTTTTAAGTAGATGAAGGGTTTTTAGAGAAAGGATTCTGTTCTCAACATCTGTTGAAGATAAAGTAAGTCAAGTGTAAACTGTTAACATGATGGAGCACAAAGTGCACAGGCTTTGAAGTCAGGCAGACTCAGATTTTAATTCCTGCTCCAGCTTTACTGTGTGACAATAGGAAAGCTGCTTAACCTCTCTGAATCTCAGTTTCCTCATTTGTAAAATACAGGTTGTTTTGAAGTTTAGAGAGAACATAAGTAAAGGGTCGGGAACACAGATAAGCGTTCGATCACAGTTAACTGATATAATTACTGATAGTACTTAAAGTAGCCTGCAGGTTTTGGTGGGACATAATGAATTTGCATGCTATTGGAATAAGTTAAAAAATAAATAAAGCATTGAAGTTGGCTAATGAGGATCCATAGTTCTGTTTTCCTGGAGCCCTCTCGAAGAAGAGCAACCCACTAAACAGGACAGACAAATAACTGTCCGCCCTGAGCAATAAGACATTCAGCCGTCTTCAGGCAGGCACAGGCCAATGCCAAAGGTCTCTTCTAGCCTGGTGAGGACAGCGGAGGACCTCAGCATTTGAACTGAGATGCAATCACAACTTCCTGACCAATGGCAAATCCTTTGAGATGCAATGGTTTTATTTTCAAAGTTAAAGGGTGGCTCCAATTCCTAGACCCTAATGGGTCTAATGCTGGTCAACACAGCCTGTCTCTTCCAATTTTCTGTTCTGAGTCATGCCTCTGCACCTCCATTCTTACGCTGCTCAGCCACATTCCTGGGCAGGGACCATGCTCTGTAGCCATAGGGCCTCCTTGTTGTTGCACAAACTCACCTAGCACGTGTCTGTCTTTGCACTTGCTGTTTCCTCTGCCTGGAGTACATACCTGGCAGCTTTCATGGCATCTTATCAGAAAGACTATCCTTGGCACCCCTCTCCATCCTATAAAAGTGGTTCCCACTCTCACTCTACCTCCTAGCCTGATTTATTTTTCTTGTTAGCACCTATCAATAATTGACATATATATTTCTTGATACCTATGTAATACAGACAACAAATGATCAAAGTACATCCAGACAGCAATTTCCAAGGACAGGGTACCTATTAATAGGAAAGCATTTATTGAGGAATCAAGTTCAACCTTAAAAAAGTGACCAAAAGGGCCGGCCCGGTGGCGCACTGGAGAGTGCAACGCTTGGGAGCGGGGCGGCGCTCCCGACAAGGGTTTGGATCCCACGTGGAGAACGGTTCCCGCTCACTGGCTGAGAGTGGTGCGGGCGCAACACCGAGGGTTGCGATCCTGTTGCCGGTCAGTAAAAAAGACAAAAAAGGAAAAAAAAAAAAAAAGTGACCAAAATAACTTTGAAAAACAAGGACTCCAATGTGATAAAAAGGCAAAGAAAAAGACAAAAAACAATATTTCACGAGCCAGAAAGAAAATAAGCAAATACTAAATGTTGCTGGAGACTTTAAAAAGGAAGAAAGAAGAAAGAAGGGGTTGAATAACAACTATCGCAATAGGTCTTGCCCCTGGAGACAGACAGTTGTATCTAAAGCAGCAGTTCTTAACTTTTGGTTATAGACATTTTTGAAAATGTAAAGAAAGCTATACACTCTCTCCAGAAAAGTGAGTGGCTGCTCATCCACACATAATTTTACTTACAATATCTGGGAGCTCACAGAACCCCTGAAATCCAGCCATGGACTCTAAGCTAAAGATCTTAAATGCCCTTGCCACACATAGCCTACCTTTGGAAATAGCCTATCATGAATGTTCTGACCCAAAGAGTCTCCAGGTTTAGAGGTCTAGAGGCTTCTTTATGAAAGGACAGCTTCTAGTTTTGACTTGCTTATCACTGACAAGGTCCTCAGTAAGCCCAGAGTGCAGAGCCTTGAAAAGGAAGCAATAGGAAACAGCTCAAAGGCATATTCTGGTGACCCGGACATGAAACATAAGCTAATGGGGAGGAAGAGGATGGCCCATCTGAAATGGAAGGAACAAGTAGTCATTCTTCGTTGGCTAAAATTTGAAAATAAAGGCCTTTGTCTTATTCTAAACAAAGATCCATCAAACAGGAAAGCATTTGTTCTGGAATCCACATGCCTGAGTCGTCATGTGCTCTGTCACTAAACAGTTGTTTAACTTAGACCATATTGCTGAATTTTGTTATCTGCAAACCAAAAGTTTAAAGGAATTTTACTTTTCTCAATAGATACGACCTTGAAAAATTCTGAGATAAATGAAATTTTATAGAATTCTAAATGTATTTGAAATATATAATGAGTTTGATAAATCAGTGCTTTCATAAATCATTTTGTAAAGAAAGTGATCGAGACAGACTTTCAGCATTTTCCTTTCAAAATGATTGGGACAGACTTTCAGCATAAAGCTGGGTTCTAATATAATGTACAACATATTTCACAAAGTGGTTCCAAATTTAAGTTTTCAGTTTATCCAAAAACTATTGCAGAGAGAACACCAAAGACAACTCCTGACAATCTGTCATTCAGTTGTAAAGAATGCCCCGAAATTATGAAAAAGGTATCACCATTAAAGTTAATAGCGTTGTGAAGCCTATGTCTTCTATAAGACAGAGGGGCCCCATTTGCTAATTCAATATTGTGTAACATTTTTTCATTGAATAACCTTAGATACACTTGTATCTGATTTCCCTAACCATTTCAGTTCTCTCCCAACTTTCCATCGATAACAGATTTTAATTTTATGTAGGAAGGGTAAAATAGAAAGAATTTAGAGGGAAGAAAGAAGTATCAAACAAAAAACAACACAGTCTCTAAGGCTATTTACTACAGAAGCAAATAGTCCTATAAACTTCAGCAATTCCTAAGAGTTCCACTGTATAACAACCTAGTCATATTAATGATGTTAATCAAGAAAGGTGGTGTTCTACAAACTCTCTTTACTAAAGCAGGAAATATACAATGTATTTTGTAACTATTTCCTAAAAGAAAACTGGTTAACTCTTAAAGGTAATAATTTTCTAAAAAAAAATATTTTTTAGAAAACAACTCCTTGTTTTCTGATAATGCAAAATCTATGAGATATCACTACAGGTGCTATAGCCACCTATGATGCTTATCAGGAAAAAAACAGCAATCCTTTGAGGATAATAAATCACCATAAAATTTTTATTAAGTTACAATTCAGTATGATATAGGGGAAAAAACGGCATAAGGGATTTGATCTGGCGATTTAGATTGTGTTAACAAAGATTTTGGAAAATTCAGCCTTTTGGGAGGCAGCTTTTTGATTCTTGCATCAGCTGTCCATTTCTCTTTGCCTGAGTCAGCACGGTGGCAGAGCATGCAGGTGTTTTCCAAAAATTAAAAGCCAAGAGCCACCGATGTGAAATGCCACATAAAAAAGCAAAATAAAAAAATGTCAGTGGGTCTCTTCCCCTATTATTCTTACCTGTTTCTTCCAGAATCTCTGAATCCTTTAGCAAAAGGGTTTCGGTCAATTTTTAATCTGGTGATCTAGAAACAAACAAATAAGTATGAATTGTTTTTACATATTTTTTTATCTTTTTTTGTTACTCTTAGAAGATTAACAAAAATCACTCTATTAATAACAGCTGTTGTTTTTATTTAGTTTCATTTAGTTTTAGATTTAAATTGAAGCTTGAGATAGGACTAGGGCCTGGCACACAGATGTGGGACCACCTGACTCACTTCTCTCTAAAAGCCAAGATTTGTCCAGTATATGACTCTGTAAACTCTTCTAGTCATCTTCCTTGCCCCAAAGTGATGATAAATCACTTGTCTAGACAGAATGAATGGATTTGGTCAACTCAGTCAGGTGGAATTAGACCACCAGACAAACTGCCTCGGCCTGAGAGATCCTTGACTGCATTTTCCATCTCACGTAAGTCGTGCCTTTCAGGCCACTAGGAATTGTTCATTTAATAACCTGAAATATTTCTATAAAAGTCACAAAAAGTAGCCAGACTCTTGCCAGTGTTTTACCCAAAGGAAAGTGTAGGGATGTGAGTCTGAACGGGGCAGGATGCAGCATGTCTTATACCATCTGCAAGACTCACAAGCAAATCAGAAGAAACAAAGAGGCAGCTCATAAGGCTGAGCAAACCCTGCACATCTTACTGTGTCACACAGGTTGGACAGGTCCTCAGGGGCCATCTGACTCAACTTTCACTCAGTGCGTAAGTCCCCCTCCATTGCATCCTATATCAGCTCCAGCAAACCCTGCCATGTTTGTATATATTACACTTGTGCCTCTAGACTAGAACAAGCCTGACCAACATATTCCATATGCACTCTAGTGTTTCCACTTTCAGCTGTGGTCACGAGAGGCATTTTGATACCTTTGTGTCTGAACCAGATGTTAATGACTCACTAAATTCAAGCAATAGAGAATAAGGGGCAGGAGCTAGGAAGCTCAGAAAGGCACTCTCGATGGAAAGTAATTCTAGAAAGAAGGAAATCTCATTATTTAACACTATCTTCATATTTCTGATAATTGTAGAACTTATCACTAAGACAGCTAAATTTGTTTTCTATCTTGCAAATCTTTCATATTCCCCCTTCCGTCTCATTTCATCAGAGTGGAATTTCCCAAAGCCACAGTCTTTAAAGGTCTTTAAAATGCAATGTGAGATTTTGACAAACAGACCTGACTTGAAAGAACCATACTGGCTTCAAGGCTATTTTTCTCCTTAAACATTTCTTGCCTCTAGAACGGCACACTAATAATGCAGCACTAATAATGTAGCAAAGGCAATTTTACATCTATTTTATAGACCAGAGCAGGAGCCTGAAGGTTTGGCTTTCTAAAGTCCAGTGTCTGCCATGTGAATACTGTATTGAGTTTAAAGAGTGTCACTGCTTTTCTTTGTCTGACTTAAAATCAGTCCTTTCTTCCTCCATAATCCACAGCAATAAACCACACACCATATTTTCTTTTCAAGTTGGGGTTATAATATTTTATTTTCTCTTTCAAGTTGGCTTATCCTGTCCAACTCATTTATGATAGAGGTTTCTGATGTATGATTGTGTGCCGTGTTTTGGGAGCCTCCACAGATCCCTGTAAATATAATGACATTCTACTTCACGGGCCTGGGAGAAATGGTTGAAAACCTATTTCCCACAGCATATTGGAGCCCAGGCCATGGGATCTGTATGGAAATTGAATAGTTGAATACCATCAAATGCTAGGAAAAGTAACACCTCTACACTTGTTTCAAAGCTTTTAATGTGAGATTTAGAGAGCTCTATGAAGAGCTTGGTTGTTCCGCTCACTGTTTATTTTTTGTCAAGTGTCTTTGGTGTGCAAAGCAGTGTGACGGGCAACACAGGTGACACATAGTGATGTACAGTCAACACGATATGAGGGTACTTCAAAATAAATACAATTAAAAGATAATACGAATCATTCCATGAACTTTTTGAAGTACCCTTATATATAGCTGTGGATAGTCCATCTTTCCCCCAAGAAGCTTATAATCTAAAGGGAAAAAGCAGCTATGCACACTAACAATTACAATATAAAAATAGGAAAGGTTCACAATAAGAGCAAAGTGCCATGCAGACTTAGAGGAAGTAGCAATTACTCCAAGGTGAAGGACGCTGAGGTTTCATGTTAGAGGTAACACGTGAGCCAGGCCTTGAAGGGTGTGTAGGATTTTAATGAGAAACACAAGAGGCAGAAAAGGAACAAGGGAAGCATTTTGTAAGAAAGGTCCTATGTGAGCCTGTGAAATAGGAAAGAATGACACATATTCAAGAAACACTGAGGAGTCGGATGTGACCAGAGCCCAGGCTATGGGAAGAAGAATATAAGAGAGAAGGCTAGAGCGGCTGGCTTGAGGCCACATCGTGGAAAGCCTTTATTACCCCACCCAGGCATTTAGATTACTCAACAGGCAGAAGAGAGCAACTTTAGGTATATAAACCAAGTCATGATCCCAGTTCATGCTTATGCTGACAACTTTGGCTATGTCTACAAATACCAAGGGTAACAGGGACAGTATTTCAGAGGACTAAACAAATGGCTTTTAACCTTAATAATCCTTAGTTTAGTCCCATGGTCCCATATCAAGAGGCAGCCTGTTTGACTCAGATCTAATGAGTGTCTTCCATAGTAAAGACAGGGACACAAATGACAGCTGGGCCATAAGCCTTCTTACTGTTCTGAGGAAAACAAGGACAGGATGTAGGGAGTTCTCATCAGGTAGAAAAAGAAATTAAAAATCCTCCCTGTCTCATACTCCACTGCAGTAGACGGACAAAGCAGAAGCAAGCAGTTAGACTTCAAGTGCCTTGGCTCCCCCATTCAAACCAAAATCTAGGGGTGGGGTTGGAAAGACTCAGGGGAAACTGTCAGAGTGACCTCCATACATACACTGGAGTGGCTGTATCAATGTAAAAATGCCACCTGATCTGAATAAACAGGAAGAGGCCTGAGTTTGTATCTCTAGCCTCCTGTAGCCCTTCTGTGGTGGGTGAGGGACTCAGAAGTCCTCACATGCCATGACAGGGAAGGCAGGGTGACTGTGACACAGATGTGCTACAGCCTAGTCAAAAGCCAGATTACCTAGGTGAGACCTGAGGTGAGGCTGGGCCCCCAAGAGACCCACAAGGCCCCAACTGAGGCAAGAAAACAAGCCCAATTTCAGCAGCCTCTATCAGTACAGCATATCAGCACCAGGGACACAGGGACAGACCAGTCTAGATGCCCCACAGCTGAGGCCAGTGAGCCTGGTGAACAGCACAGGGACCCACAAGTAACCATGACGAGGGCATACAAGCCTCTCACCTCCACCCCTGTGCATGCACTGTACATCTAGAGGCTATCAGGGAGGGGGCAAAAGACAAAAATTCAACATTTGTCCAAAATAAATCAAATTACACGAAGGGATATTTAACCCAAAATAGATTTAGAGAGTTTACATTTCCCCCTACCCTACCCCAATACAGGGACCAGGGCTTTCTAGGAAAATCAGCTATAGAAAATTACACACATATAATAATATAATAAATATATTTGGCACATTTGAGTAGCTAATTTTCAACCCTACCCCACAATTATGTTTATCAGTTAGACTCAAATATGGTTGTCTACATCCACCTCCCAACTTTAGACCAGGTGGCCATCATCTCTTGACTAAACTACTTTAAATGGCCTTTGAAATGATCTCCCTTCTTCTGTTCCTGTCCCTGTCCAATCTCCTTTCTACACAGCAGACCAGGTGACACTTGTTAACACATAACTGGATCATGTCATTCTCCTTAGTGGCTACCACTGCTCAGAATTCATCCCGGCTCCTTACCCAGCCATGCAGGGCCAGCATGCCCTGGCTCAGCCCTCCTCTCCAGCTGCAACTGTGCTCCTCTGCACAGGTCCACAGACTCCAGCCTAACTGAGCTGTTCTCAGTGCTGGCATATGCCAAGCTCTTTCCCTGCTCAGGCCTGTTACACTTGCTCTACCTTTAGATTTTAAAAATGCTCTTTTCTCTACTTTTTACATAGCTGACTCCTCGTTCTAAGTCTTAGTCTAAACATTATCTCCCAAGAGAGATCATCCCTAATCATCCCTCCAAAATAGGATACCTGCTACTCTCTTTAACTACACCCTCTTTAATTCCATCTTTGTTCTTAACCCAATTGGTAATTACATATTTATTTTTTGTTTACATGTTTACTGTATGTCTCTCCCACTGGACTACAGGTAAGAATCATTTTATTAAGCAGAACCTAGTATGACACACTCTTCGAGCTCAATGAATAGTTATTCAATGAATGAATTAATTAATGAGTGAATGAATTAATGATGATATGGGAACCAGGGATCACCAGTCCCAAAGCCATGATAAGCTTTAGAGGATCCAGACCAAGTAACTGTCTCAATTCTATTGGCTTTCACTGCAGGTATTACAGACAAAAATCTTTAATGTCTCTCCAGTCAGATTAGGTCCATTAGTAACTTCCTGTGTAGCTAAAGCTATTCTACAGTCGTCATGTTCAAACTTGGTCCTGAGATAATGAGAAGACATGGAAAATACAGAGGTTATGGAAGCATTCTCTTCACTGATTTTATTTCCATAACCTTACACTGATTTGTGTAGTCTGAGTTATTGAAGGCTGTGGCACATAAGGGATGTTTGCTGGCTTGCCACCATTAATTTTAATCATCGTCATTAACTTTTTTGCCTAGTAAATAGAGGTAGTTAATATGCGAGGCATACCTCACAGTGCACAGTGCAGACACAGCCTGCAGAGGAAATGAAACTTGAACATCCTGAGTAAGATGTTATAGTATGCAGGCTGAAAGGGCCTTCTCTTATTAACACTCTCTTAGTTATTTTCTATCACATTGCTTTTCCATAGGGGGAAAGAAAAAAAACAAAACAAATAAACCTTAGCCAGTATGAAAAAATAAAATAAAATAAAAACTCTGCACTGATTTGACTGAAAATCAAATCTGGCTCAGTAGTTTAAGATATAATGAGTGGCTCAGAAA